ATTTTTACAGTAAGGAGCGGGAAGACTATCTGTGGGTTATGGGTCATAAGCCTTGTATTTCTTAATAATGGCAAAGAAATGATAAAGTCGGCTATGTAAATCTCCTAGCAAAGAGAGGAAAAGGTGAGTACAACTTTGCATGGATACACCTACATGCAGCATACCTATGGAATATTAACTTTATCTAGTTCTTTTTTTAAAAATAAATTTATTTATTTTTGGCTGTGTTGGGTCTTCACTGCTGTGAGCAGGGCTACTCTTCATTGTGGTGCACTGAATTCTCATTGAGGCGGCTTCTCTTGTTGCAGAGCATGGTCTCTAGGCGCACGGCCTTCAGTAGTTGTGGCACGCGGGCTTCAGTAGTCGTGGCACGCGGGCTTCAGTAGTCGTGGCATGTGGGCTTCAGTAGTTGTGGCTCACAGGCTCTAGAGTGCAGGCTCAGCAGTTGTGGCGCACGGGCTTAGCTCCTCCGCGGCATGTGGAATCTTCCCAGACCAGGGCTCGAACCCATGTCCCCTGCATTGGCAGGCGGATTCTTAACCACTGTGCCACCAGGGAAGTCCCCTATCTAGTTCTTCATAACTGATAAATTTTCATCCCTGAAGAGTGCATTTGAAAATCAAAACCACTATATCTTATTCCCATTTTTCAGCTAGACTTAGAAATTTCAGTCTTCAAGGTCACACAGATATTAAAATTAGACTATAATTCAGGCTCGTTTCCACTTCTCAAAAAACTCTCTATGACAAAAATGGAGCAACTCAGAGGTACCAGAGGAGCAAGGAAATTTCTAATAGTAGCAGAGAAGGAAAAGAAGAAATTACCATTGCTAGAACAAGTACTTCACAGGTCGCTTGTTACATCCAGGACTGCTGGTACTTCTCCTATATTCTTAACCTTATATAAATTAAATAGAATGCTTAAAAAAAAATTTTGCATAGAATTTTCTGTCCAAATTGGATTAAGGTTACATAATTCATTAAACATTTTATTCTCTGCAACTTTGGTGTGTAAAACTATGTCTATTTCTAAACTGGACTTCTCTAAGTCAAATAATTAGGCATAATTTTAATTCAGAGTAAAAAACAAAGTGAAATCTAAAATATAAACACCAGAACTAAATTTGTTTGGTTTATGAATGAACTTTGATATACTGGGTTCTTTCTGGGTTTTTTTTTGCAGTACGTGGGCCTCTCACTTTTGTGGCCTCTCCCGCTGCGGAGCACAGGCTCTGGAAGCTCAGGCCCAGCGGCCATGGCTCACAGGCCCAGCCGCTCCGCGGCATGTGGGATCCTCCCAGACCGGGGCACGAACCCGCGTCCCCTGCATCGGCAGGCGGACTCTCGACCACTGCGCCACCGAGGAAGCCCCTGGGTTCTTTCTTAAAGCAAAAATATGCATATTAATTTGCAAGGTCTGCTTGTTAATCAATAGTCTTTGGTTAGCAAAAATACATGGCATTATATAACAACATATTTGTCAACACGTATTTAAGACTTATTTACTTTTAATAAACTCTCTGCAACACAAAACACGTTTCTAAAGGATAAAAAAAGGAAACATTAGATCAGCTGACTGTCCAAGTTGATTCCATTTATGAAACTAATGTACAGTTTGAAAAATTCAAGAGATACAATGTAAAAACAAGTAAAATTATATACCTTCAGTTTAACTAAAAAAACCAAAATCTCTTACCTTTAAAAGAACTACAAGTCAAAAAAACCCCAATAATGAAGAATGCAGAATGAAGATAAAAGCTGCCAAAAACCACGACCCACTGGAGGCAAGATGGCCTGCCACCTTCGCCAACTGGTATTAAGTCTAACTTTGATCTACCCACAAAGTCTAATTTTGACCTAACCACAATTTAAATGCCAACAGAATAGGAGAGTATTGTTTATCCCAATGTTCAAAACTTTGCCATATTACCTGTTAAGAGGTAAAATGCTTCCTTTAATATACCTATCAAGCTTGTCAACAAGTTTAATATCTGTAAGCCACTTCTTTTATGTGTCTGTGTTTTGTTGTGGGATTTTTGTTTTTTTTGGAAGTATAGTTGATTTACAATGTTGTGTTAGTTTCTGGTGTATTAGCAAAGTAATTCAGTTATATATATATATATACACACACGTGTGTATATATGTACGTATATATTTTTTCAGATTCTTTTCCATTATAGGTTATTACAAGATACTTAATATAGTTCCCTGTGCTCTATAGTAGGTCCCTGTTGTTTATTTTATACAGTGTGTATCTGTTAATCCCAAACTCCTAATTTATCCCTTCCTCCTCCCTTTCCCCTTTGGTAACCATAACTTTGTTTTCTATGCCTGTGAATCTATTCCTGTTTTGTAAATAAGTTCACTTGTATAATTTTTTTAGATTCCATGTAAGCCACTTCTTAATCTAAATGATCTTATACACACACACTTGAGAAGCGCACAATATCAAACTGAAAGTGACTGATATTTTACTTAATTTCCATAAATAAAAATTCCCTGAATGCCTTCAAAGGTGGGACAAGCAGAAAAAACCCATGACTCTAGGTGCTTCTGATTATGCTCAACGAAAAATAAGGAAACTCACAAGCTAGCTGAAATAGCAATGAACAAATATGCTTTTTGTAGGCTTTTACACGGATACCTCAATTGCAGCAAACACTAATCAGCTGCTTAAGAAATATATACCACTATTTAAAACTGTCAAAAAGAATTCTAAATGACTAACCTGTGGACAAAGGTGCATTAAACGTACTTTAAAGTTGCATTTTTCACTAAAAATAAACACAAGATTATTTTACATGCATCCTCACTCTATTATAGCTTCAATCTGGCTTTTGACTTTCACACACTAAGTTTTTAGGTTCCCTACTCCCCAAATTTAAATGCAGCATTGAAATCTCCCTGGGGTCAGCACTAGAAGGAATGCTATACTGCATCATTGACCAGATCACTGGAAATTAAGTTCCTAAAATTTACACTGAACAAGGTATAGAATCACATTTTGTATAACTCTGTAATCCTAAAGAACACTTGGTACAAGGTCCTAAACGTATCAGGAGCTATAAATATTTACTGACTCAAAACAGTCCTTCAACAATTTTTAGTTTTGTTCCATGTTGTTGAAACAAAACAGCATAGCCTGCAAAACCCAAAGGCCCTAAATGTTACTGAAACTTCACAGACTACATTGTTTTATTGTTTAGAGATTTTAGCCTTGCCCTTATTACCAGCTGTAATGCTTTTACTGACGCTGGTACGGTCGGTAGGAGAGCTGATCCAGTCAGAAGTAATATCAGAGCCCATTAAAGGGTTTTAAGTTCAAGTTTTACATATTTATCTTTTATCTATTTAACATTAATGTTCTAAAAATCATTTAACTGTATCAGCAACTTAGCAACTTAATAAAGTTCTGTAGTCAATCTAATTTCCAGAAATGTAAATAAACACTGGTACCAATAAAAGAATAAGTAACCAAGCAGGAAATGTGCCTTAAGTTCTGGCAACAAGGTAAGGATAGTGTTTAGGTCAATGTAATGAAAAATAAGCATTTTTGTATTCTATAGAGCTTTTCATAACTAATTTTTTAATAGTTATAAAAGTCTTTAAAAAGTCAAAGCAAATTGGGAAGCCATTATCAAAATCACAAACTACCATTAAAGATATATGAAAATATCCGGCAACCAAGGTCCAGAACTGGTTCCAGGGTATCAAAGGTTTTCTGGTTAATGTATTATGCCTCTAAAATATCACTTAGATGTGACATTCCTGAAACGGCAACACAGACCTAGAAGTTTCAGTGAGCCACTGCCGGCAAACCCAAACTATGACAAAGATACTCCCTCCTTTGGACGGTTATCAATCAACTTGGTGCTCTGGGATCAGCCTGCTTGAAAGAAGTTTAAGATGGTGCCCAAACTGGGAGAGAAACCAGTAGAACGGATAAAATCAAATGGAAAAGTAACTTTAAAAGTTAAGTTCCTATTTCCAATAAACTGTGCCTGAGGAACCTTCCAGACGAAAAAGACAGACTCGGAAGAACAGACGGATCTACACCCACTCGCATTCTCTGAGGCGTGAGCACTGCGCAGAAACGATGAATGAATGGGAGACGGGCGCGTGTGAAATGCAGCAGGTCCGGCCGGCAACCAGACCAGCAGCAGCTATCCGTAGGCCTCGCTCCTCCCCCTTCCCTCCTCCATGACAGCCCAGCCTCCAGCATGGAGGGGCGAGGACAATGTGATCCCGCTGCTAACCACCACCACCACCCTTCATCCTACTCGCAGAGCTTTACCCTGTGACACGGGGTTCTCCTTCCCACTCCAAACCCTTCTCGCCTCCCCTGCAGCCCACCCCGGCAACTCTCGGACGCGCCGGCGTAACATGCGCTGGCCGCTCTCGGCTCCCCTAGGCGAGGTCGAAGCTTCTCCGCGCACGCCGCGGCACCACTCCCGCCCAACTCACCCTAGGGCAACGCGCGCCCACCGGCTCCCTGGCCCACCAGTCTAAGGAGTTCCGGCGCGCGCCCCGCACCCGAGCCCCTGGGCTAGAGCGAGGGAGGGAGACACAGAAAGGCTGCCCAAGGCTCCCTCCATCTCATTCCAGGCCGGTTCGCCGCCCACCCTCCCTGCGGATCCGGGCGCCAGCTCGGAGACGGCCCAGCGCCCTCCTATCCCGAAGACACAATTCCCACACACCTAGCCCAGGGCCCAGGTCGCCCTTCACCCTCGAACCCCCTCGCGGCTCCGCCTGAGGCGCCGCCCCTCCCCCACACCTCTCCGCGAGCTCTCGGGCCCCCACCAGAACGTGGGCTCTACACGCCGTCGCGGCCAACCTCCGGGGCGCCCCCAGTTGTCCGCGGGGAGGTCAGGCCCACGAAGAGGGGGAGGGGGCGGCAAGGGGTAGCGTGCGCACCGGGAACGCGGTCCCGCGGGGTCCCCGAGTCCGAAGAGAGACGGAGCGTGCGGGCCTGTGGGGGTGGGGGCCAAAAGCAATACTCACCGGTTCCACAGTCGCCATCTTAGATCGATCTGATCGCACAACCGCTCCTGAAGGGGGGGGTGAGAGGAAAAAAATGAGATTCAAACCGCATTGGCCGGCTTCTGTTCACGTGACGGACGTGTCCGTTTGGCCCTGGCGGCGCCTGCGCAAGACTGCGGCGGCGTGTTTAACGAGAGGCTTCTGGGAAGTGGAGTCTCTCTCCTGTCTTTCTCTCTCGTTTTCGTTTTTTTTTTTTCTTTTAGGCAAAGAAGTTTAAAAAAAAAGGACTGGTCACGTGGTCGATGGGTGCCGTGCGCGGTTCTCGGCGCGGCGGACACACGCGTGCTGGAGAGTGGTTTTCAGACCTCTGCTCTTCCGCCTGGATAGCTGCTGTCGCACTTACTGCCAGGCATGCCTGCTGTACCCTTTGTCGCCCTGTCCTCCCATCTTTCCCGAAAGGTTGGGAACCGTAGGCTCAGCACGCACAATAAGGCTTCGTTTGCTTAGTTGAGGTCCTAGAACAAGTTGCCTGTGTGTTCATTTAATTTTCTTTTGACTGCACACCATTTTCTCTTAGTTTCAAAAAGAGGCGGCGATGGAGAATCGTTTAAGCAGGCAACCCTCCCCGGTCCCCCGGCTCCGCTAACGCTGGTGGTCACTCATGGCCATCACTGCCAAAAGGGGTGGCGGGGCCGCCCACAGTACCCACTTGCCACAGGTTGGGGGAGGGGGAGTGCACCCGACAGCGTTTCCTGTTCCAACTCCTGAGATTAAGACCTCAAGGCTAAGGCTTGCGTGGAAGTAAAAATCATTTGCAAGTTGGGTCCTCTCGCTTCCACTGTTCTGCTTTAACGTGATCGGAAATAGCCCAAGTCCGGGTGCCAGCCAGGGAAGCCACTCCGGCCCCCGCTGACTAAGCCCTGGATTGACCGTCAGGAGTCGTTAGGCCGGGTCAACTATGACTCGACGTTGACTCATTCTCCTTGGGCGAGTGACTTAATCATTCAGTGCCCTAGCTTTTTCATTTATGAACCACAAATGGTAATACACTTCCCTCACAAGGGTGTGCTATGCTGATGATTGTAACCAGCTTTGAAAATGAATCGGACTCCCTAAATGCTTCAGAATAGTCAACCTCGTGCCTTCCTAAGGATCAGCGGCTTCCCCAATGTTTTTTTTTTTTTAAACAATGTTTAAATTTTTTTCTTTTGTGCACTTTCTTACATTATCATGTACACCAATGCAATTTTAAAGTTTCAAAACAATTTTTTTTGAACTGTAGCTACCCTCCATGGAGACTTTAATGTTCAGGAAAATAGTGTTATATTCACAATAATCACTGGTAATTAGAAATTTATCCCTACAGTGGCATCCTATATTTCCTTTCCCTGTAAGATGCTGTGTTGTCATTTCTCAAGACAGTGTTATTCTGCACGGTTATTAATACAAAAAACAGAGGTAAAGAAATCTAGTAGAGCGCTACTGTAAGGTTTTAATGAGGAAGACATACGATTACTGTTTTCCGTGCTTCTTAAGAATGTTAACACAAGAAAAATCAGTATAAGCAGGTTGCTGATGTCCAGAGCTGTGTCATACCTATTACTGACTACATAATGGTCGCTTGAGTTGGCTAACACATAATTGAGGCTGTAATAACTCAAAACCATTGCCTGATCATATGCTTTGGTTTACCTGGATGTCAGACACGATTAATAAAAGCTTTTGACCAACTTAGCTCTAGTAGGTTTAAAGTAGAAAGGATTCTGAAAACATAAAATAAATGGATAAATGAATTTCTATTTAGACTATCTACTCTTAGTTAACCTATCCAAAGTAATTATAGTCGACCTCAGTGATACTTTCTGTTGTTTAAAAGTAGTATCCTGTTATCTTCTTTGAAGAGAGAGTATATATGTATTATTTTCCCAATGCTGCTAGATAATAGAACAAAAGAGATTTAAAGAGATTTCAGTGGGACTGCAAACCAGTGATGTTCTTAAAACTTCCTTTTAATAATAGCTTCCATTTTTTTAACTTTTCTCTTGATCAAAACACACCTCACTTTTGTCAATCATCCTAGTACTTCTACTATACATGTATAGTAGAAATATATATATATATACTCCTCTTTGGAGCTTAATTTCTCTCCATTTTCTATGAGCTTTGTTGCATGTGTTTTATGACACATTCATGTGTCTTTTCCTAATATTACCATTAGACTCTACCATGTCAAAGACTTGGTGATTAGGTTTTTATCTATGTGTGTATATGGTTGTTTTGCTTTTGCCAATCTGAAGTATTTTATTCTTTTTTTTTTTTTTGCGGTACGCGGGCCTCTCACTGCTGTGGCCTCTCCCATAGTGGAGCACAGGCTCTGGACGCGCATGCTCAGTGGCCATGGCTCATGGGCGAAATATTTTATTCTTTATTAATCTATTAATGCACAAAAAAGTACGTTTGTTACATTACTACCATATTTGTGCTTGTACTTAAAGGAAAGTGTAATAAAAAAGATATTTGAAATGGGATATGGTATTGAAACACTATTCTACTTGTTGGAGTTATCTAGTTAATACATAATTAATGGCCCAGCATAGTATCATGGTAACTATTATTTAAAATCCTGGAAAATAAATAAATAAATAAATAAATGCCTGGAATGATTGGTTATCATTTAGCATCTGTAAATAGTCATGATCTTTTCTCTACATAATATAATCCTGAAGCTGGTATATCACTAGTCTTTATAGATCTAACTCATGGTAAAGAGACTTTAAATAATTTAATAGAACACATCATAATAAAAACAGCACATCATTTTTATCATGTATTTTGTCATTGGAATTTTATTTAGGTTTTCTAGATAATCAAAATCATTGTTTTGCTGGGCATTGTTCAACTGTGGTTCAAACTGATCACATCTGCTATGATCAATTCCTCAAAAATATTACTACTACACTGTCTAGTATTTAAAAAAAAAACAGGCCTTGGAATTTTAGACATTCTGTTTAAATTAGTTGCCTTTCTTAGACTTGGATTAGTACTAAGCAATCGTTTTTTCTTAAAATGAATATGTTTTGAGACTGAAGATATGAAATCGCATAATAAAGTAAATGATCCTTAATATTTTCATTTTGGGTATTAACTTTAGATATAATCTAAACCAACCTCTAGTTAACACTAACTTTTTTTTTTTTTTTTTTTTTTTTTTTTTTTTTT